ATGTCTATTCAACAGATAAGTGCCTCGTTAAAACCTTAACTAAAATAAAACCCAGTGGGAAAAAAATTCTAGTAAAGGAAAAAGAGTACACATATCTAACAATACGCCTTTTGGTTGCCTCGTTAAAAACCTTGCAAGGAAAACCCGGTAGGACAAAACCTTGTAAGGAAAAAAGAGTACAACGCGTATTAACTCCCCCTGATGAGAGCATCAATTCACATCCTTGAGCCTTCGCATCCCAATCTTGTACACTAGCTTCTTGAAGGTTGACGTCGGTAGAGATTTTGTGAACAAATCAGCCATATTATCACTTGAACGAATCTATTGCACATTAATATCACCATTCTTTTGAAGATCATGTGTGAAAAATAGCTTTGGTGAAATGTGCTTTGTTCTATCTCCTTTTATGAATCATCCCTTCAATTGAGCTATGCATGCTGCATTGTCTTCATACAAAATCGTGGGTAGTTTGTCACATTTCAAACCACATTTGTCTCGAATAATGTGTATTATAGACCTCAACCACACACATTCTCGACTTGCTTCATGAATAGCAATTATCTTAGCATGATTAGATGAAGTAGCCACAATTGATTGCTTAGTCGATCGCCAAGATATGGCAGTGCCTTCACAGGTAAACACATAACCTGTTTGAGATCGAGCCATGTGTGGATCGGATAGATACCCAGCATCGGCATAACCAACAAGATCAGGTCTGCAATTATTGCCATAAAATAAGCCCATATCGGTAGTCCCTTTTAGATACCGCAATATGTGTTTGATTCCATTCCAATGTCTCCTTGTGGGAGCAGAGCTATATCTTGCTAAGACATTAACTGAAAAAGTTATGTCAGGCCTTGTAGTATTGGCAAGATACATTAGTGCACCAATTGCACTAAGATATGGTACTTCAGGACCAAGTAGCTCTTCATTATCTTCTAAAGGTCGGAATGGATCCTTATTCACATCAAGTGATCGAACAACCATTGGAGTACTTAATGGATGTGCTCCATCCATGTAAAACTGTTTCAATACCTTTTCTATGTAGGCAGATTGATGAACAAAAATTCCGTTTGCCAAATGTTGAATTTGCAAACCAAGTTCCGAGATCTTTCATCTCGAATTCCTTCTTTAAATAATCAATTGCCTTTTGGAGTTCTATAGGAGTTCCAACAAGGTTTATGCCATCAACATATACGGCAAGTACAACAGATTCCGATATTGTTTTCTTTATAAAAACGCATGGGCAAATGGCATCATTTATATAGCCTTCCTTTAACAAAATACTCACTAAGACGATTACACCACATTCGTCCTGATTGCTTTAGACCATACAAAGATCTTTGCAATTTGATTGAAAATATTTTCCGGGACTTTGAATTATGTGCGTTTGGCATTTTTCCCTCGGGAATTTTCATGTATATCTCATTATCAAGTGAGCCATAAAGGTAGGCGGTAACCACATCCATTAAATGCATGTCAAGCTTTTCATGGACAGCAAAACTAATGAGATAACGGAACGTTATATCATCCATAACGGGTGAATATGTCTCTTCATAATCGACACTAGGCCTTTGTGAAAATCCTTGTGCAACAAGGCGTGCCTTATATCTTTGTACCTCGTTTTTCTCATTTCTCTTGCGTACAAAGACCCATTTATAGCCAACAGGCTTAACACCATTAGGTGTTTGGACTACAGGCCCAAAAACTTCACGTTTTGCAAGCGAATTCAACTCTGATTGGATTGCTTCTTGCCATTTTGGCCAATCAAGTCTTTGTCAACATTCTCCAACAGATTGAGGTTCAAGATCCTCACTTTCTTGCATAATGCTAGATGCAACATTATATGCAAAGACATAATCCACTATTATATCCACTCGATTCAAATTTGTCTCAATATCGATTGGATTTATTGATAGTTCCTTATTTTCTTGAGCCTCGGGCTCAGTGGATTCATCATGAATCTCAGAATTTATTAAATCGTGGATTTCTTCATGAGATTCTTTCGTAGTGTCATTTTGATCATTTGTTTTCCTTTTTCTAGGATTTCGATCTTTGGAACCTAATGGTCTGCCAAGTTTTAGGCGTGCTTTTGACTCATTAGCTATGACACTAGAAGATTGTCCAATAGGGACATCAATACGGATTGGAATATTCTCTGCAGGGATATGTGATTTTGTTATCCTTTTCAAATCCGTAAATGCGTCTGGCATTTGATTTGCTATTCTCTGCAAATGGATAATCTTTTGCACCTCTTTTTCACAAATAGAGGCATGTGGATCAAGATGAGATAATGATGGATTTTTTCACAAAATTTTCCGTTTGGTTTCACCAACTTCTCCCCCTAATTTTGGGAAAAGTGTCTCATCGAATCAACAGTCTGCAAATCGTGCAGTAAACAAATCCCCCGTCAATGTTTCGAGGTAGCGAATAATGGAGGGCGATTCAAACCCAACATATATTCCTAACCTTTTTTGGGGACCCATTTTGGTGTGATATGGCGGTGCTACAGGCACATATACTGCGCATCCAAAAATTCTTAAATAGGATATATTAGGTTCATGACCCAAAACTAATTGCAACGGGGAATATTTATGATAATTTGTCGGTCTAAGACGAACTAGCATTGCAGCATGCAAAATGGAATGACCCCAAATAAAAGTGGGCAACCTCGTTTTCATGAGTAACGGTCTTGCTATCAATTGCAGTCGTTTAATTAAAGACTCTGCAAGACCATTTTGACTGTGAACATGAGCTACAGGATGTTCCACTTTTATCCCAATTGATAAGCAATAATCATTAAACGCTTTGGATGAAAACTCAGCCGCATTATCAAGTCTAATAGACTTAATTGGATTATCGGGGAATTGCGCCCGTAATCGAATTATTTGTGCCATTAATTTTGCAAACGCAAGGTTGCGAGATGACAATAGGCACACATGGGACCATCTAGAATATGCGTCTATTAAGACCATAAAATATCTAAACGACCTACTAGGTGGGTGAATAGGTCCACAAATGTCCCCTTGTATACGTTCCAAAAACGCAGGGGACTCAATTCCGACCTTTGTTGGTGATGGTCTAATAATTAACTTGCCTTGATAACAAGAAGTGCAAGAAAATTCATCATTTAAAAGAATCTTTAAATTCTTTAATGGATGCCCATTTGAGTTTTCTATAATTCGTCTCATCATAATTGATCCAGGGTGTCCCAATCGATCATGCCAAAGTACAAAAGTATTGGAATCAGTAACCTTTTGGTTTACGGTAGAATGTGCCTCAATTGCACTAATTCTTGTCCAATACAGGCCACAAGATAAAGATGGGAACTTCTCAATAGCCCTTTTCTGGCCAGAGACATATTTGGTAATAATGAGATATTCAAGATTATTCTCATCTATTGTCTCAATATGATATCCATTTCGACGGATATCTTTAAAACTCAACAAGTTCCTCTTGGACTTGGAGGAGAACATTGCATTCTCTATGATAAGTATTGTTCCCTTAGGCAGAGTTATAGTAGCTCTTCCAGAGCCTTCAATTAAATTACTACTACCAGAAATTGTAGTAACATCTGCCTTACACATACTTAAATGAGAGAAATATTTCTTCTCTTTGAATATGGTATGTGTCGTACATGAATCAATTAAACAAATATTTTTACAATTGAACTTTGATCCAAGTTTACCTGGAGAGATATCGACATTTGTTTGATCCATTGAATAAAGACTGTTGCACGTTTTCTAATCTTGATTCACAGTTGAAAAGTCTTCTAAGTCTTGATCAATTGTTGTTTGCTAATTCTTCTCTAATAGGTAAGTGAAGACAACAAACACTACTGACTTACGTACACAACCTTTCAGCATAGGCGCAACTGGATATTGAAAACATAAAACATGTTTCTTAATCTTCTTGAGACGGTAGAGTCTCGTGCTGATAACGTGTTATGAAATAATAAAAGAAGAAAGAAGAGTATTGCAAAGAAAAGTAGGGAGAGAGAATTCTTATTGATTTGGGATGAATTACAATAGAATAGAACCCTCTATTTATAGGGAGAGGGTGACTTAGTCACCAAGCAATGAACCCTAGAATCTCTCTAAATATAGACATTCACCATAAATACAATTCTATTTATAACAAAATCGATTTAAATCACAAAGTTGTCTCCGAATTGGACTTGTGAAAGAGGTAAGATGTACACATAAATCTTAGAGTTATGCACAACCGTGAAAGAAAAATTACACAATCATATCACTTTAAACCAACGTATATAAATATTTATACAAAAGATAACTAACTTGAAAAGTACACCATAGTCCATGGGATAGTGGACGTGTGAGACCAGTGCCGTTGAACATCTGAGATGGCGAGAATTCTTTAGTAAAGGCATGGCTTAAGCCAACTCAAGACGGGAGGTTTTTCAACTACTATTACAGCTCGTACAACCTTGAGGAATCGAGACTAGTGTAATATGTTATTAGCCTAGTGCTACTCCACATAAGACTTGCTAGAATAACTACTATTTGCCACTGGTTAAAAAAAAAAACAAACAATTATCATTATCCATTAAAAAATGTGTTGAATAATTAATTTTTTAACAACAGGTCAAATATGGATAAGAATCATATTATCCACTTAAAAAAATGGATAACTAATGGGTTTTAACATTTAAAGTCTCAAATTGTTAATTCCTCAAGTTTGGGAGACTAGGAACTCTCCCAAAAGTGATCATATTCAAGAAATCATTGATCCGTATTATCCGCCTGTTAACCGTTTTTTATCCGTATTAAATTTGGACCGGATCGATGATTTATCCGTTTTTTTGAATTCCCCATTTTCGACCTGCCCATATCCGACCTAACCCGCCTGTTTGCCGCCCCTAGCTATCACTAACCTAAGTATTTCTCCTAATAACATGGTTTATTAGAAAGTGTGATTTTTCATACTCTTCAATCAGAGTTCTGGCGAAAACATAGTAAGAAATAAGAAGTAACAGGTTCAAGTGAAATAACACACCTAATATGTCAATACAATCTTGTCTACTACACTCATATGCAAGTGTCATTGTGCAGCAAGGAGCTGAACTAATCGTTCGACAAAACTATCTTTACCTTCAAGCTTGAAAATTGAAGCATAGCCAAGTTTATCGTGACTACAAAATGCTACTAATCCTGGCTACTGTGAAGTATTTAAAGGAAGAAGATAAGGAGAAAAAATAATAAAAGAAACATTGCCTTGCTCTATTTACCAAAGGCTACGAGGCACGAGCAGTAAGTTATCTACCAAATCAAAATCTGGGTAATGGGGTAACAGAATGAACACGATACCTACATTGTGAAGTCCTCCAATCTCTGTCAATTTAGAAATCTGCAGTTTTGACTTAACAGCTTATGCATTTGATGGGCTCTCAACTTGTTTGTTTTCTGAGTGTTTCGTGTTCTGAGTATCCTCGTTCAAAATAACATCGTTTTCTCTGACTACCATTCTACCACCCTCAGGTGGACAGTGAGCGTCTGTGGTGGAGTCCGTTCTCAGGCTGTCATGCAATATTGGAGAATGCCTCTGCCCAGATGATAGACAACCGTTTGAACTAAGATTAAGGGAGTCCATCGCATAGTGAGATCGGATAGCTGAACTAAACAAAGGTTGCATAAATCGCTTTTTTTCAGGAGTCTCACGTAGAGAAATTCGACAAACTGGGCACGTGGAGTGCTGCTGAAACCATATGTCGATACATGTTGCATGGAAGGAATGCCCACATAATGGCATAATACGTAACGTGTCCTGCTCCTGATAGTCGGCAAGGCAAACTATGCATCTACAAAGATGAAAAGGAAGTTATAAGGTAAATGGTTATGTTAACGTAACAAGCTATGTTTTATTGAATTTTGCAATATTCACAAGCTACAAAATTTCCGAACTATAACACACAAGATACAATGACCATAAAAAATAATAATTCAAGCAAAGATCTCAACTTAAGGGAAACGCGTCAAGTGCTATCCCTTTAGGAGCCACTTCAACATCGGATGTAAACAATATGTTTAACCACGTTCGTTCAGCGTATTAACAATGATAAAAATTCAACTATGGTCACATGCATGTCAAATATGTATCCTATCTATGTCAGTCATAGTATTTAACATGAACACTGGGACAATTTACAGACTGTACTACATAGACAACATTACATGCACAATTCGTGATATATTTTCCAACAATTATCACCAGAAAAAAAGGCCATTTCTCCTGTACAATGAATGATGATGATTATGCGACATTTAGGAGAAACATGGATACAGTTTTAAAGAGACATCTTTGGCACCCAATTCAAAATGGAATTTCTAATCTTGTATCTCCCTCGCAATAAATAATACTTAGGCTTTTCATTAATCTAATTAGAGTTTCTGTGACCAACAGGCCCAACACAGAACCAAGAAAGTTGGACTTACTCCCTCTGGACATCTCTGATCAAATCTCTTCTCTTCCCTCGATATAGAGACTATCTAATGCTTTGTTCATGACTTCATTATAGTCTAAAAGTCATCAATAAATGGTTTCCAGTCAATTCTTTCCTACCAAGCAGTTAGATTCTCTGATTATAAAGGCAAGTATATATGATTGGTCTGGACAAGTTTCAGATGAGCAAAGCCTTAATAGTCAAAACGATTGCATTTTAACCAAGACATCAAAGCAGTGAACTTTTTCTCATTACCGTAACATATTATGGTTACTGCCTGCGATAATCCAGGATAAGTAGTGTTTTAGAGACATGGAGAGTGAATGGAAATATTTCACCTTCAATTCAGAGGAAACTCATTGATGATATTGAAGGTGAACCGCTATACCAGTTGACAAGGAATTGTAATACCACATGAAAGAAAAAAGACAAAAAGAATGCAAAAAGGGAATTCTGACATTTTTTATTTATTTTATCAGTAAAAAGGAAAATCTGAGATCTTTATATAGGTAAAATGCAATCACTCCAGGGTTTCATCTAGAAATACAAACATATGTGCACAGTGAAATCTACAGTACTTCTCCCTTTCCGGAAGGGAGGCAGCTGGGAAGCATCACACTGAAACATAGAGGAAAAGGTAGAAACTGCGATTTTCAGAGCTTATGCAAAAGGAAAACAAATGCAGTCGCAAGTCTACAAAATTGAGCAGGTGAGGATGTAACCTTCAGCTCGACCGATACATATATACAGATAAAATATTTTTACTCATATATATATATATATATATATATATATGTGTGTGTGCAGGGGCATATGTAGCCTTTCCGATACGGGTTCAACTCAACCCATAACTTTTCGACATGGAATATAAATTTATATGTAAAAACCTACTAAAATTTCAACAAATATTAGATTTGAACCCATAATTTTAACAATGCAATGAGTGCAATGCTAAAAAACTTAAAATCTGAACCCTTTAGATTCAAATATGGATCCGCCTATGTATGTTTGTGTGAAGTTCATATAGTAATGGGTTTATTGATACTCCGACCGATTGAACAATCTTGGATTTGTCCTTGAACAAATATCCAAACACCTTTGCTCTTATTGAAGGTCTTCATAAGCTAAACAAGGCAATATCCAAAACTCAGACGTTTGTATAATGTACCATAAACCTGGCAGATCTAAAGGGTCGAGGATAAAATGACAAATGTAGCTAATCATAATTTTCAATATAAGGAAATCTACGTGATCTTAGGCTCTCACTTTTTAACCCAATCTCTAGCATAATTCGGTCATATTATATTGCCATGTAGACCTAGTGTTGGTTGTTTGTTCTCCTGTAACTGGAGGACGCAGCACAAGCAAAGCAACAGGCAGAGCGAATGTAACTGAATACAAAGGAACACCGGTATAACAATTCTCTCAACCAAGAATGCCTTCTTCTCTTGTTCTTCTGTTTAACTAGTTTTCCGGATCGCGTTATCCCAAATGATTCAAAGAATTTCAAATTTGAAACTAAATCTGATTTAGTTTCACCAGAACAAATTCACTTTGCAGAGCAGGTGCACATACTAACACTCACCATGAACGCTATTCTCAGTTGTTAAACAAAGTAAGAACTAATGAAAAAAACATAAAACTTAAATTAGGGGCAAGGTATAATTGTCTTACAAATTTTTACATAGAATTACATATGTAATATGTTGGGTTCCATCTCCAACATACCATCTCCCAATACGAGCTACAAGTAGCAGTTCATGTCTAACTTGACTTTCTTCACCACACGCAGACTTCACTGGTGGTTGAACTACACACATAGTGTTTAGTAGCCCCAGGTATGCCACAACACTAGATCTTCAGACATCTTCAACAAAGTTGTCGAGGCTGAATTAATGTAACTAGCTACATATTTAAAGCAACGATGCAACTAACACAAAATACACATAGCTGTCAGCATCCTTATCCGAGCACACAAAATTATGTTAGCACTCAGCAGACACATTTTCTTGCTCCAAACGTTGTTTAAATGGATAACAAGATTCCCATCAAAATAGTAAAGAACCTCCACATTATCCCTCCACAAATGCAGGCAATTACTGACTTAATAATGTCATTCTTCAGATGTATCAGGTTCCCAAATACACATCATTCCAACATCCTATTAAAATTTAACCGCATGGGATTAACAGATGTATAAACGTCGAAAAAGTACAACACAATCTGAACACATATTCATAATCCTAATTCAACTTCTTTTTCTTTTTGTTTTATATGCAATCCTATTTTTCATTCCTTCTTTCAACAAAAAATAAATTTGCTTTGTGCAATCAAGATAAAATTTGTCCATCTTATGAAGAAGTCAAGAACCATCAACTAGAACAAAGTGCTATTTATCTTAACCTTACATAATATGTAGAAGTTGAAGCAAATATCAACTTACTGAGCATCTTCTGCAGAGGTAAAAAACACATCGCCGTACTTCTTTGTCGGGAAGTTCGCAACAGCAAGAGGCTCGAGGCCATGTAAACCACGCTCCAACTGTACAAGGTAAACATATACTATTATTAACCAAAAAACATGATCAGTGATTCAAGTGATAAAATTGTGCTGCTTCCGTTAATAAAGAAGAATCCAAGCAAAAAAGTGACTGAAAGCGTACTATTTTAGTACAGTAACGGATCAAGTACAACTAAATTTAGCTAGGCTGTGACGTAAAGGATGTGAAGTGAGGGGAATAATACCTACAGCTACAAGCACAAAGTAAAAAAGAAAGCATCATCAAGACAAATTGATGTTCGTTTGAAAGGTCTTTACACGAAGAATATGACAAGTCATAGAAAAGCATCTGAAATGTCCACAAAACCTCTTTAACAAACTACACATCAAAGTCCTAAGTGGCCTACAGGATTGAGTATGTACTATGCACCAGCTGGACTACTCAACCAATCAAAACTGCAGTTATCATCAGATACTTAAGTAGGCGTTTTGCAAATAATGAAATATTATGTGCAAATCAATGTTTGTTTTACAATTTGTCAGTTATTTCAACTTCAACTTGAAATAGAGAATTTGAAGTTGAAAAACTAGTTTGAGGAATTCACACAAAACTTCAACTTTTTTCCAAATGAGATTTTATCCAAACACAATATCAACTTCCAAATACTCCTTTTCAACTTCAAATTCAAATACTCGTTTTTACAACTACCGAACCAAAATGTAGAAAATCCAACAAGAAAAAGCAACAAGATGTTGAAACTGTATAATTTTTTAAAAAAAAAAACACCACACTACTAAAACATTAATGAAACAAGTGCTTACAATGCTAAGATCAGATCTAGAAGCATATGCAAAAGACCGCCGTCTCGCGTTCAACTGAATTCTTGCACAAATTAGCCTAGTGCAGACAAATACTATGAACATAGTACTAACTGCAAATCCAATCACAGTCATCACCAAATTCATCCCTGAAGATATCATTTTGCCAACTTTTTTTCTTCAAAATAGAAACTTTATTATCCAATACTCCAACAGTCCAACAATTGAATTTACTTGAAAAGTTCCAATTTTGCTCTACTCATTCCAACACAAAGCAGATTTTACACTGTACCCAACTCATATAATCACAAGATTGAAACTTGGCTTTTCCCAAAATAGCAACTTTACTATCCAAAACTACTATAGACCAAGAATTGAATTTCCCACAGAAGTTCCAATTTTGCTCTGCGCATTCCAACATAAAGCAAATTCTACACTATCCCCAGCTGATGTAATCACAGGAAAACTTAAACCAATCCCTAGTAATTACAGTATTCTCTCAAAAATCTAATCTTTCGTAATTCTTGAGTAATTTTAAAAAAAAAAAAAAAAAAATGCACCCAAGAACCTAATCTTCACTTTTGATTTTCAAGAACCCTTTTCTGATTTGCTTCATAGCTCATAAAAATACTACTTATATTTATCTCTCTAGAGGCATCTCTCAGTGCCCCCATTTCTCCTATATTTCTGCATATATATGTATTGGATATTTGAACCTATAAAGACTTTGCATTTTAATCAAGAAGAGGGTCAGCATGTTTTCTTAAAACCAGCATGTGGAGAGAGAAAATTAAAAGAGAGTGAAGTACTGATGAATCAGGAAATTAGTGAGAGGGATTAGTGAGAGAAAGAGAGATCTGAGATCCATAATCATCGTTGATTAGTGGAGTAATTTTCTTAAGTAATTTTCCCTTTTTTTATTTCATTTTCGGTTAGTCAATTATATAATGTTACCCATAAAAAATTATGATGTCACAATTCACGTACGATATTTTTTTTTTTTTTTATGTTAAGTATATATATTTTTTATGAACGATAGTATTGTGGTATTTGACAATTATAAAAAAAGTATTTAAGAGCACTTATTTTTAGACGTAAAAAGTACCAAAAAAAGAAAAATAAGTCAAAAGCTAAATTACCAACTTATAACTTTTGGCTTTTAATTTATAAACCACTTTTTAAAAGCCAATCCAAACATCCTCTATATCATATGCATAATAAACATTAAACTTTTTTTAAATAATTTCCTTTTCAGAGAATTAAAATTTATCTCTTATTAAACTGATCGACAAAATATAAGAAAACAATTACGCAATAATTTCTTGTGGTTTATTTACCGATATCATGTATTATATTTTATGGATCTTCCTGTAGAAAAACATATAATTAAAATTACATTTATAATGAATCACAAAATCGGTTAGCACTACTACTTTTAAGCCATGGTCATTGGGTGTTATTATATTATTGCACTTGAATCGGTAATCAACAATTAAACAACTTTTAATTGTTTAAAGGTCACCATTGCATGTGACTCATTTCCTCTTTTCTTTCTTTTATTTGACTATTTGATTTGCTTTTTAGTTTGATACTATATTAGTATATTGGATATATAGAATGTCTAGTCTTACCAATAATTGTCTTTAACCTAATGATATTTCAAGATTCTTCTCGTGCTTATCTAACTGTCTTCTTGGCCACAAGCATCAAGGGGTCGTTTGTTGCACCTAAAGATCTTCATGACACATCAATAAAAAAGTTGAAAGATTTGGGAATCTGCCTTGCTCTATTTCTTTGTAAAAATAAAATATCCGTTTCCAAGAGAAAAAGTAACATAAGTCAGGTTTTAACAAGGCAAAAAGTTCACAAAAAAAATCTCATTCTAGATTGGATACTTTGTTTCTCCAAACCATACTCACATGCTCATGTAGTTTTCAATCATCAAAAAAAAGGCAATGAGCCCTGGGACAAGCTATCAAAAGCTGTAGTCCATTTTTTGAATTGTTTAATTTCTAAAATAATGAATTGGCAAACATTATTAGCTTAAACCTAGTACACTTTTTGGACCTTATAATAATGCAATAATGCATAATCCATAAGTTTTTGTCTGGAATTTATCCATACAGAGGAAACAATGCATGTGATTTTTTTACTTTTTTTTGGTATACACAGGAAGGGAGGGGAAATGGAGGAAATTACAAGCTGAAAAATCGAACCTCTACAAACAAGGTAAAAATTCATATAATCAACCATTTGAACTACTTCAGGCCGATTCTCTTAATGCATGTAATCTGAAATGATGGATCGAATCCCATGTTTCGAGTTGTTACTTAGAATATACTCCCCTCTCTCTCAGATCCCCCCGACCCCCCCCCCCCCAGTCAATTTGACACATTAAATTTCTTTCAAAACGTTTGATATTTAAGGAAAAAAAGCATTTATTATTATTAAGAAATGTAGCTCAAAGTAACAATAACAAGAAGATATATAAGTAATAGAATAAGAGAAGACGAAATACTTTCTTATTTTATCAAGTGCTGTGTGTCTCATGTCACATTTTATGCCTATATTTATACTATTACATAGGAAAGTTACAAAATGATTGTCCTAAACATAACATTAACAATTGAGATCATGGGGAGGGGTTATGGTGGTGGGAGTTACAATTATAATAGTGATGAGTAGTGGAAGGTTATTTACATCATGGGTGAAAGTAGTGGATATCCATATTTACTAATATTTTGCGACACTCCCCCTTGGATGTCCAAAAATAAATAATATGCCTCGTTAAAATCTTAAGAAAAAAACCATGTGGGAAAAAATCTTAGTGAAGAAAAAAGAGTACACGTATCTGTAATACGCTTTATTTGTTGTCTCGTTAAAAACCTTACTAGGAAAATCCAATGGGACAAAACCTAGGCTAAGGGAAAAAGAGTACATCGCGTATCTTACTCCCCCCCTCATGAAAACATCACTTTATTTCTCGAAAACGTCGCAATCCAATCTTCTGTCTCAACTTCTCAAATATTGAAGTTGGTAATGCCTTAGTGAACAGATCAGCCAAATTTTCACATAACAAATCTATTGAACATTAATTTCACCATTTTGTTGAAGATCATGCGTGAAAAAGAACTTTGGTGAAATGTGCTTTGTTCTGTCTCCTTTGATGTATCCTCCTTTCAGTTGAGTAATGCAAGTAGCATTGTCTTCGTATAGTGTAGTCGGATTATCTTTTTTTCATAAGAAAACCACACATTTTCTGAATATGCTGAGTCATTGATCTCAACCAAACACATTCCCGACTAACTTCATGAATGGCTATTATCTCAGCATGATTTGAAGATGTGGCATCAATTATTTGTTTCATTGAACGCCATGATATAGATGTATCTCCATATGTAAACAAATAGCCTGCTTGAGATCGAGCTTTATGTGGATCAGAAACTAACCTGCATCGACTTAGCCAATCATTTCTGACTTGAATTCATTAGAATAAAGCAATCTCATATCTATAGTTCTTTGAAGATATCCAAATATATGCTTAACACGATTCCAATGTCTTCTTGTTAGGGATGAGATGGATCTTGCCAATAAGCTTACTGCAAAAGCAATATCTGGTCGGGTATTGTTGGCAAGATACATCAGTGCCCCAATTGCACTAAGATATGGAGTTTCATCACCAACGAGCTCTTCATCATTTTCTTGAGGCCGAAATGGATCTTTATTTATGTCAAGCGATCTCACAACCATTAGGGTACTCAATGGATGTGCATTATCCATGTAAAATCGCTTTAAAACCTTTTCAGTGTACGTTGATTGATGGAAAAATATTCCATTTGTTACATGCTCAATTTGTAGGCCAAGACAAAATTTTATCTTACTAAGATCTTTCATTTCAAATTCTTTCTTCAAACACTCTACATCCTTTGTAAGCTCTTCAAAAGTGCCAAATGGGGTCATTTTTTTACCTCTTAATAAAGATACAAGGGCAAATGGGGTCATTTTTTTTTACCCTTCCGTTAGCAAATACTCGCTAAGGCAACTGTACCACATCCTCCCTAATTGCTTCAACCCGTATAAGGATTTCTGAAGCTTTATTGAATAAGTTTCCCTTGAACTTTTATGTGCTTCAGGAACTTTAAACCCTTCAGAGATTTTCATAAAAATTTCATTATCCAATAAGCCATATAAGTAGGTTGTGACAACATCCATTAACCGTATATCAAGCTTTTCATTGACTGCTAGATTTATTAGATACCTGAAGGTAATTGCATCTACCATGGGAGAATATGTCTCCACATAATCAATGCCAGGCCTTTGCGAAAACCCTTGTGCCATAAGTCGTGCTTTATATTTTACGAGTTCACCTTTCTCATTTCGTTTTTGCACTAAAATCCATTTGTACCCCACTGGCTCGACACCTTCAGGCGTTCGGACTATTGATCTGAAAATTTCACGTTTTTCAAGTGAAGCCAATTCTGCTTGAATTGTATTTTTCCATTTTGGCCAATCATTTCTCTGTCTACATCCATCGACAGATTTTTGCTTAAGATCCTCATCTTGTTGCATTACTTCAACTGCAATATTATATGCAAAACTGTTGTCAACAACATCGTTATTTCGGTTCCACCTTTTTTCCGTAGAGACATAACTTATTGAGATCTCTTTATTTTCATCATTTCCAAGTACTTGAACCTCCTGTGAGGTCTTATCAATTGTTATGTCTTTATGCTCTTCTTGAGTAATTGTCTCCACATTATGATCAACTTGATCATTTGCTGCTTTCCTTTTTTGGGAATTCTTATCCTTAGAATCGATTGGTCTACCACGTTTAAGGCGTGGTCCAGACTCATTTCCATTATCATACTGTCCAACTGGGACATCAACTCGAATTGGAGCATTTACAGCCGGAATATGTGATCTAGTAACCCGTGGAAGGTTAGTAAATGCATCTGGCAATTGATTTGCAACATTTTGCATATAAATGATCTTTTGAACTTCTTGTTCACATTGATTTGTACGAGGATCCAAATGAGATAGAGATAATACATTACAATCTATCTCTTTTTCTAGTTGTTTATTTTCTCCCCCTAATGTTAGAAAAACCGATTCATCAAAATGACAATCAACAAATCTGGTTGTAAGCAAATCTCCTGTCATAGGCTCCAGATATTTAATAATAGAAGGAGATTCATGACCAACATATACTCTCAACCTTCTTTGGACAGCCATCTTTGTGCGTTGTGGTGGAGCAATTAGCATATTTACCGCACATCCAAAAATTCTTATATGGGAAATATTTGGCTCCTCAGCAAAAGCCAACTGTAATGGGGAGGCTTCATGGTAACTGGTTGGCCTTATGCGCACAAGTTCTGCTGCATGCAAAATAGCATGTCCCCACACTGAAAGGGGAAGTTTTGTCCTCATTAACAATGGTCTAGCTATTAATTGGAGGCGTTTAATCAACGATTCTGCTAGACCATTTTGAGTATGAACATGAACAAACGGATGTTCAACTTTCATCAGTGGCCATACAAGAATCAGTAAAGGCCTGGGAAGTTAATTCACCAGCATTATCAAGACGAATTGTCTTAATTGCATAATCTATAAATTGTGCTCTTAACCTTATTATTTGGGCCAACAATCTTGCAAATGCCATATTGCGAGTTAATAATAAGCACACATCTGACCATCTTGTAGATGCGTCTATTAAGATCATAAAATACTTGAATGGTCCACATGGAGGGTGTATAGGCCCACATATATCACCCTGTATACGTTCCAGAAAAGCAGGGGATTCAATCTCAACTTTAGCGGCTGATGGTTTAATAACTAATTTTCCTTGAGAACAAGCAGCACAAAAGAATTCC